ATGATTGAATAATGAATGTTGAAAATTGAATATTGATTATTGAATATCTGAACTGAACATTATGTGCATGATATCAAATGGTTGATTATGAATTGAGATTCAATTTATGTGGATGTTCGACGCATTAGATATGCTTACTCAGCTTTACCGCTGAGCGTGTAGTGTGTTTTATTTGCTACACGCAGGTCAATAGAATGATGTGACGTGATCCTGGAGGCAGACGGAGGCGAGATAGTTGGAATGGATGTGATGGTTTTGAATTAAAGAATATAAATAAATTATGTTTGTGGTTATGATTTGTTAAGCTTCCGCAATATTGAAAACTCTGTACTGTTTATGATATGAAAAATATTATTATGATAAATAAAAGTGTTTGATTTTACGATTACCAAGTTAATACTTTAGTCCGAAAGGGGCTACAGACCTGGACGGATTATTAGGGTGTTACAAAGAGTCGTTCTTCCGCATTCGAAGTGAACTCGGAATCCTTGACTCCACGATGATCTAAGTTGTGCATCTAAACTCGTTAAACGTTTACTAACTTGAGCGTCGGAGAATTTTTTCTTTTTTGCAGGTACCCCGTTCATGAAATCAGGGGGAACCTTGCAAACAGCGCTATCCAAGAGACCCAACAGCGCTCTTGAGAGAAACACCGTCAACCAGAAAGTTTGCCAACAGCGCTGTACAACAAGCCAACAGCGCTGTTACAGGGAGTCCCTTTTACCTTTGCTTTCCAGAAACTTTTTGAGCATCGCAGTCCCTCTTTCAACATAGCTGTTTTCCAAAACACCTTGCTTTCAAACAAAACCAGAAAGTTTTCCAACAGCGCTATCCACCATTGCAACAGCGCTATCCATTTTTACAAACTTTTTTTTCTTATCGTAAAACAGCGATGTAGAGAAACCCAACAGCGCTGTTCTAATGTGTTCAAACCCTCACACAATTCCAGAAACTTTTGGAACATCGCTGTAGGGTACCCCACATCGCTGTCCATTTGACTCCTGTTTTTTAAAAAAAAACACTTGACGCAGAACAGCGCTGTCCCAACAGCGATGTACCCTGTAGAACATCGCTGTTCTGGTCAATTTTTTCAAAAAAATTATCCGTTGCACCAGCATTAATTGCTCCAACAGCCATGTTTTTGAAAATATGGACGTTGGAGACCTCTTCTCCTATAATTTGGACCCCCTCTTCTCACTTTTACACACACAAACACAATTCTCCACAATATCTTTGCTTATTTCATCATCTCCACTCTTCTCTTTTGTGTTTTTTCTTCATCATGGCCAAGGACAAGAGCAAGGCCGCCACCTCCGGGAAATCAAAGTCCAAATCCCGGGCGCCTACGACATCCTCCTAGGAGCGCCTCTACTATGGCGACAGGTCATACCTCTGGTTTGATTCCGAGGAGGAACACACCCATTTCCTCACTTTCTTCTCTAAACGGGTTGTGGCTCCCCCACGAATCATACCGGAGCGCTACCCGGAGCTGCAGGGCTACGACGACCTTGACGCGCAGCTTCATCAAGCCGGCCTTTGGCCGTTCGTCTCCCGGGCTCGAAAGGAGATCAACCCGGGCTCTACTCCCTTGTCAAGAGCACGCCGATTGAGCTCTCCGTTGAGCAGCTTGGGCGCATCGCCGGCCTCCCCTTCCAAGGCGAAGACGTCTCCCACTATGGCGGAGAGGACTGGGTGCTCAACAACGAGGGAAATATCCTCAACGAGCTTGGCATCACCGAGCTCATCCACCATGCCTCGGGCCGCCCCACCATCCACTCTGCAAACCTCGAAGGCCGTCTCCTACTCTACATCGTGTCCCGAATTATCAAGCCCCGGAAGCATGGGCACACGATCATGTCTGGTGAGGACCTCAAACTCATCCATGCGATCATGCACACGGCCCCGATCAATTGGGTAAAATTTGTCATGATCAACATGTCGGTCGCCGCGTCCACCGACCAAGATCACCTCCTCCCGTACCCGTTTGTGGTGATAGACATCCTTGAACGGTTCAAGGTAACCACCACTGTTGGCCCGCTCACAAAGGCCACGAAGCTTTGGACAATCAGCACCCAAACCTTCACCAAGCGGTCGGACAACGCCGCGCCTGCCACTGCCGCGCCATGCCGCACAGCCACTGCCGTTGGACCAGCCGAACCCCAGGCCCGGGCCAACCTTGCCTCCATTGCCGACTCCCTCAACCAGCTCCACTTCAAAGTTGACGGGATGGATGGCTACCTTGAACGGCTAGACGAGGCTGTCCAACGTCAAGGATATGCTATGAACGCGTACTTCCAATGCGTTAACTACGTCCCCCCACCGTACCACGGCACGTTCTTTGGGCAAGTGTACGGTAAAAAGGACGAAGACGATGACTCCTATGCCCCGTCAAGCTCCCTGGATGAAGACGAGTTTGACGATGCCATCGATGGGAATGAGATGGACGTCGACGACGACGACGAGGAAACCGAAGACGAAGCCTAGGACTCCCATAGATTTTCTATCTCCTTTCTTTCAATTATCATGTTTTTTATTGCTTCCGTTGTACTCCGCTATTTCCCTTTAATAAATAAAATTATCCTTTTATCTTTTTGTTAATGTCAAAAGGGGGAAGAAAAGGCTATGCATATACTAAGGGGGAACGTCTCTAAAAACAAGACCGTTTGATTTTTAATCCGACAATTTTTTTAAGCACAAATTAAGGGGGAACTTTTTCACAATTTTTTGAAAATCAAATATCCCTTAGTATGCATATCCCTGTCTTGTTTGCCATTATCAAAAAGGGGGAAATTGTTGGAACACGGGTTTACGCCTACGTCATACTAAACTGTGTTCGTTTTTATGACAGGTTTTGATAATGCCAAACCGCCGTGACATAACAAGGCTAAAGTGAGCAAAACCAAGGCGAAGGAACATGGCATGATGATTTGAGAACCAAGAATCAAGAATGAAGAATTAGAATTGCATTGAGTCGGTCTTAATGTGATCAAGACCGCACAAACTTTCAAAACTTGGCTCTCTAGGCTCATTTCATCAAAATAATTTTTACAAATTCAAAAATGATTTTCATAAGTCTTCAACATGCCTAAAAACACTTGGAGTTCGCCCAGATCAAAAAACCAAGCCATCTGGCGTTCGGCTTTCAGAAACCGGCGTTCGGATTTCAGAAACCGGTGTTCGGCTTTCAGAAACCGGCGTTCGGCTTTCGGTTTTCGGCGTTAGTTTTTGGCGTCCGAACCAACCAAGTGGTTTTCAACTTTTTATGACTGGTTTTTACTTTTGGGCATATTTAAATAGTTCTCCAACAAAAACGCTTCAAAAACCACCTTCCGCTTTTGGTCGTTTAGTGAAAACCATGCGAAACGACGCAAACTTGGTTAGCCGTGGTTTTCAACTAAATGTCGTGGTTTTTAAGATGTTTTACTTGATTTCTTAGCAAAATGCAATAAACAAATGTTTTCAATACTTGGTTTTTATTTTGGAGAACTTACATTTTTGACATCGGCTAACGGCATGACTAAACCAACCATGGGTCTGGCTAAACCAGCCCATCAGCGATGTTGGTGTAACCAACAGCGCTGTTGGGTAGCTGAAAACCATGGTTTGGCATTAAGTCTTCCAACAGCGATGTTTGATATTAGACATCGCTGTTGAGCCAAGGTTGGATTTCTAGAAACATCTGGAACAACGATGTAGGCTTCCCTACAGCACTGTCCAACCTAAGCCAAATATATAGTGCATTGGCAGAAAGTTTTTGGACAGCGATGTTGACCGAGCAACAGCGCTGTCAGGCCAAACTTCCATCTTCAAAGTCAGACCTAAACAGCGATGTTCTAGTATTGAACATCGATGTAGGGACCTGACCGCTTGAAGGAATTTAAGGCTAAAACTTTCCTTGTTTGGAAGTCAACAGCCAAAACAACGATGTAGCAGTATTGGACATCGCTGTTGGCATGACCGTTGCTTCCCAATTTTTAAAACGCAAGCCTAGAACAGCGATGTCCAAGCCTAGGACAGCGCTGTCTCGGTGAATTTCAGCAGATCCAAATTTAATCAAATCCCACAAATTGTGCCAATCACCCCTTAAATGTTTTGGTCCGTTGGAGCCTATTTTTCTACTATAAAATGGGGTGTTTGGGTCTGTTTTACACATCACATTACTTCACAACTCCTATTCTTTCATTGCAAATCATTCATCCTTTATTCATAGCTTTTTGAGAGCCATTTTTGTGAAGCTTGTGTTGTGTTCTTGAGCGTTCTTAGTTACTCAATTATCCACTCTAAAAGAGAGTATTGTTCTTGAGTGTTTTTAGTGCTCTTAGACACTTGACAAGAGAAAGTATTTCTCTTGTTGTTCGAAGGAAGGGTTGTTTTCTTCGAAGGTTTGTTGAGGTTCGTGTGACTCGAACTCTCAAGTTGTACGGGTTTGTTGAGCACCATTAAGCTTAACGAGATAGTAGTGTAGCTCGAGAGAGTCTCTCGGGAGGCTGGATTAGCCACAAGTTGTGGTGAACCAGGGTAAAATCGGTGTGCCTCTTACTTTTCTCTTTACTTCTCGTTTATTCATTTTTATTCCTGTGATTTCTTGATCAAATGCTATTCACCCCCCCCCCCTAGCGTTGGTCTATTATTCTAACACTCAGTTTGTCTTCTAGTGCTTGTTTAGGAATTCTAGGCGAGCTCTTCAATTTGAGAAGTCCAGACTTTGTCTTCAAGTTATTTATTCTTGAATCAGCTTAATTATCCTCAAACTAGCTGTTGAAAATCAAGAGATTTATTTTTCCTCACCAACGGGTAGAATTTCTTCATTCAAGACTTAGATAATTCTAAGTCTTTTTCTCACTTGTCTGCTTATGAGAATTTCGGTCTTTCTTGAGGCATCCGGTTCTTTGCTGACAAAACCGGAAAAGTCATTCATAGACTTCCAGGTGAGAAAGTGGTCCGCGCTAGTCTTCCGATCCGGATGACTTAGCCTTCAGCAGGTTGTAGCGAGACATCCGGTTATCATGTAGTGTTCCGGATTAGAGGATATTCAAAGTAACAATCTGCTTTGAGAATTCCTTACTTGTCTCTGACATTTCCGATCAAGATATCCAATTTCCATATCACAGAATTTGATTAAGTCTTCAAAGATTGACATCAAACCACAGAGTGAAAAATATCACAACTTTATTGGAAATCTCAAGAACTCGGTTTTAACAATATTTCTAAAAAGAAAAATTACATTGAATATTGGGGGAGACCTAAAGTCCCTATTACAATCTAAATACATCATCATAATCTATAATATTTTTCCCAACATGGGGAGTGTATTTTTTAACATTTTTTTTATTGCAATTGTTTGAGGTGTAATATGTAGTAGGCAGTGTAGTTTGTTTTTTGTTGGTCGTGTGATGTGTACGTTGGATTTTGTTTTTTGTGTGTGCAGTGTAACGTTTAAATGTCTTTGTGGGCGTGTAATGAAAAGTGAAAATGTTTTTAGGCAATGGAATTTTGTTTGCAGCGCTTGTGTAAATTTTTAATTTTTTTTTCCTTATTTGCTATGACAGTGTTAGTATGCAAATAAATTTGATTCATTATGATTGTAATTGTTGCATAATATGGCTACATTTAAAAAAAAGTGGTAATGAAGTTGTATATCATATGAGTTGGGTAAAAAAACAATGCCACCTTTGAAGAAGTTCGTAAAGAGTCAGTGATCTCTAAAAGGATGTGTTTTTTCTTTGAAGAGATGTGGAAGGAAATTAGATATTGCAACGCATGCATGTAATAAAATAATAAGTGTAATTTTTGCATAATATGGCTACATTTAAAAAGAGTGGTAATGAAGTTGTATATCATATGAGTTGGGTAAAAAAACAATGCCACCTTTGAAGAAGTTCGTAACCAGTCAGTGATCTCTAAAAGGATGTGTTTTTTCTTTGCATGTTTTAATATTGTGTCCCATCTTCAAACACCGGGTGCACTTCTGTTTTTTCCGACATTTTCCGGAGTGAAATTCACCAATGGACGGTAGCCTCCTCTTCGTTGGCCTTCCAAGAGGGTGCTTGGTGCATGATGGGGGCTTGCAAACGAGTAATTTGACATCGGTCGGGATGTCCCACGAAGACTTTTCTCCTAATGGGTGCACAATGCCGCTATAGGTGGCTACCAATGCTTCACGTTTGTAGTAAGGTGAGATGAAATTCTAACACAGCAATCCAAGACAAGATCCTATTGTTGCCACCGCGTGGACACATACAAAATGGTCCAATTGAAAATCCCCACATGTACACGACATTTTCTCTGAGGTTAACCACAAAAGTTCAGGTCCACCTGTCAACAATCTCGAACTCGTATGGGCATGATGGTTTAACATACAAGCAATTTGGACTGTTAACAATGCAGTGTAGAATCTATACAGGGGTGTTTGCATTATACTTGTATTCTTTAATAATTATAGTGTATGGATGGATAATGAATGTATACCTTCATCTTAAATGCATCACGTTGTAACGTAATTAACTCAGACTCAAGCTTCTTTGGTAGAATGGTTGATGTAGATGAGGCTGTTTCAAACCGTTCATGAAATCATTTCTGCATCCTTTCGCGAATGAAATCAACTAGCTTGCAAATGGGGTATTCACGTGCCGAGTTGTTGACGTTGTTCATTGATTCGGCAACATTTGACGTCATTACAGAGTACCGAAATGGACCACTTTTACAGCGTACCCATCTTGTTTGACCAATTTGGGAGAGGTATGCACGTATTCTTTAGTCTTGGTCATCTAGCATTTGAAGATATTCCTTGCACTCCACCTTGGTTGGTGCACGTGATGCTTTTCTAAACTTCCAAGTTAGGTCTTCTTTAGGACCTTTGAATTTAACACGCAAGTTTCGGGCAATGTGTTAAGTACAAAACTTGTAACACCCTAATCCGTCCAGGTCTGCATCCCCTTTCGGACTAAAGTATTAACTTGGTAATTGTAAAAATTTGAAACATTTCAAACATTTTTATTTATCACAATAATATTTTTCATATCATAACAGTACAGAGTTTTCAATATTGCGGAAGCTTAAGAAATCATAATTACAAACATAATTTATTTATGTTCTTTAATTCAAAACCATCACATCCATTCCGACAATCTCGCCTCCGTCTGCCTCCAGGATCACGTCACATCATTCTTTTTATCAACCTGCGTATAGCAAATAAAACATACTACACACTCAGCGGTAAAGCTGAGTAAGCATATCTAATGCATCGAACATCCATATAACAGAATCTCAATTCATAATCAAATCACTTGATATCATGCACATAATGTTGAGTTCAAACATTCGATAATCAATATTCATTTGTCAACATTCATTATTCAATCATTCAACATGTATATTCATCATTTGTCATTCAACAATATCCTTAAACTATTCTTAGTCTAAGGCCAGTTTATTTGATGTTTACCAACTTTTAAACGAATTCTAGTTTAACATAGTTAAACTATATTCAAGTTTAAGGTATTGTAACACCCCAACCCGTGTGACCCGAATACAAGGATCAGCGGATCGGGTTGCTACTAAATTTGTAGTCAGACACAATAATTTCCAAAACAATTTAAAACATATTTAATTCAAAACAACACTTAATTATCCATCAGAGTAAATCAAAACGGTGCGGAAGCTTTTAAGTACTTAATCAAAATAAAACTTTGGGTTCTTGCCCTTAAGAACATAATAATTCAAACTTAAATATTAAATAATAAACTCCTCCAGCTAGCATCCATCCATCATCTCATCCTCTCTACCTTCCAGGATAGCTCCTTATTCATCACTCTTGTTACCTACGTGTAGCAAATAGGAAAAAGGACTACACGCTCAGCATTGAAGCTGAATGGAACTATCTAACGTTTCGACTACGCACATAGACGAACCCACTAGCTCATAATTCCATACAATATCATATCATGCACATAAGTACAACATCAATAACATCATTAGTATCATATAATTCACGCAACATGTTACTTACCTCAATTCTTCAGCTGCATAAGTTATAAATTAAACATTCAAGTTCTTACAATAGCTCATATCAAATACTAGCTCATAACCTGTACTAGGCTAAGGCCAATTCCTCATTATCCACATTCTTATCTTAGGACTTAGAGCCACTACCTACGGCCATGACTCAAAGTCTATTCTATGACATCAGAACCACTACCTACGGCCGTGATTCTGGTCAACCCGGTACCTACGGCGCCGGTTGGGTGGAACCTCCAATCCTACGGATCAGATCCCAGATTCCATGTACGTACATCTTTACCCGAATGCCACTGGACTCCACAAGGCTCTACAACCTATTGTCAATTCACAATCTCAATTCTCACAAAATAGTCCTAGAGTTCTTCTAGGTAACCTACGTCATTCACTTACTTTAATTAATTAGATCCAAGCTAACAATAACCTCCATTTACTTTATCCGTTTAAGGCATATCACATTATATCCATAATAAATCAAGAGAGTAGAAATAGCTAAATAAATCATCATGCAATCCAAATAGCGGCCTAATGTCGGGTGTAAACACCTTCCATTTACCGTCATGCAACACATAAGGGCTCAGAGTCAATTCAGATTCCAAATTGGGTCAAACAGTCAAACAACGGAGATTTGCAGTTGCCGGTACAGTACCCGTCACGGTACCTCGATAACGTCTGGCGGTACCTTGGTACCGTCGGTACGGTACCGACCGTCGCTCATAGATACCGTTTGCAGCAACGAACCAGAGGCGGTAGCTAGGTACCGTTTGGACGGTACCAGACTACCGTCCGGCATCGGGAGTGTACAGATACAACAAATTTCTACCCTATTCCAGATCGTTTGATACATATAACGTTTTTAAAGATTATAACCATGCAAATCACACAATTTAGAGTAAAACTACGTACCTCGTCTTTCTTGTACAATCAATTCCAATATCATCATAAAATATAAATAGATCATAATTCAATAATAAACAAATAAACCACGTAATCAATCATACGAAACTACGAACGTGAATTTCAAATCTATCTACATAATCTAGCGTTAGATGTGCAAGTTCTGACCTTGATTAACTAGAAGAATTGAGGGAACCGAATTAATGAGTCAAATCACCGACGAAAAGAACAGCGGCGATGGGGCTGTTTCCCAGCGAGTTGCACAGTGGCGGTGGCGGCTCGGGGCAGCGTCTGGACCACATCGAACAGCTATGTAGTTCGTCTCTGGCACCTCTCCCTTCCGCAAAGAAGAAACTGATGATGGTGATGAAGAATCGCGGCAGGGAAGAAGATTGCAGACGGCAGGGGGCGTATACGAACGTATTTATATAGGTATTAGACCCAATTAGAGTTGATTTAAGATTTTGGCTAGTACGGCCCATTAAACATTATAATAATAAATTATTAACTTCTTTTCATTTAACTATTGAACTTAAATATCTATTTTACTCACCACGTTTTACACGTATGTCCAAATTTAACAAATTATATATCGTTGATCACCATTTTACGAGACCTATCCGGAAGCCCAATTTTTATTTAAAACGGACAACGTTACCAAAAACTCATATTTTTGAGTAAATAAATTTAATGTTCATTTTTATTAAAATAACGGCTAACTACTAAGCCGGATTTCGGGTCGTTACAGGTACTCTTAACTAACCCTTAAGCTAGGGCTAGTTTAAGATACAATTTTTCAAAGAGCGGTTTTCAAAATCTTAAACTTACCTTCGCTTAAGGTCATCCAAAAACCGAACAGCGGAATGCTCACTGTCGGGTTGGGTGGTATCCCCAAACGAGTGCCTCAAGTTTGGTTTGCAGATCCCGTACGTATGTTTTAACCCAGGCCACCGAATATTCACAATTATATCCGCAAGGCCTATTTCTAAGCTATCTTAGAGGTCTTCTTGATAGTCTTAGAAACCAACGTCAACCTAGGTATATCTAAGAGTTCTTCTAGATATCCTTACAATCCAAATCATTTCTTAATCATCGAAATATTCATTACAACTCATAATTTAATCAGTGCTTTCATCAAGTCATAATCATCATAATAATCTTTCACCATAAGCATCAATCAACATAACATTCGATAGCAAATAGCGGCCTAGCTTCGAGTGTTAACACCCGAACTTTCTGTCATGCATCACATAATGTTTTAATTTGTTAAAAACATCACTTTTATTGTGAAACATCATTTTTATAATAATCATAATCAATTGGTATCAAAAATAGGATTTTAGAGCTCAAAAATAGCATTTTCAGACAAATTTTTGGATCAAACAGGTCGGGGGATCGATCCAGCACTTTGGATCGATCCTCCGTAGAGAAAATACTCATTGGGATCGATCCAGAGGGAATGATCGATCCTCCCTGGGTGTTTTCAGCCACTGATCATCGTCTTCTTCGTTACGGGTCTAATTTCGGAAATACCATTTTTAGTCATCGAACTTCAACGAAACTATATAGAGATGTTCTCCAAGGTTCATAGATCATTTTGGCATCATTAATTCATAATTTTAACATCAATTCATGGTTTATGATTCTTGGTTCTTCAAGCAGGTCAAACACAAAATTCAACCAAACGACCGTTTATGAACGTAAAAACGATCTATACGAACAATCTAGTCATTAGATATATCAACGGGCTTACCTAGAAGCTTATTGAAGGTTTTGGAAATTTTCCGCTGAAACTTCCGGCGAGGTTTGTGGCTAACTCCGGCGACTTCACAACAAAATGGCAGCACCAGTGCACTCCTCTCTCAACAAAGAACAGAATAGAAGGAAATATGGAGTGTTTTGATGAAGAATTGAGGAAGATTGAATTCCTTATATAGAGAAGGGAAGAAGAAGATGAAACTAGGCTGAGTAGATGCTGCGTAGATTTCCAATTCACCGATCTTCTTTCGGCTATAAAGAGATTTAGCACGTTACTCCCTGATTGGTACACTTTTTGGTCTAACTTTCTCCGAATTGAATTCCGTTTGCGCCGTTGCGATCAGACAGTTAAACTCTATCCAACAATATACTTTTTCCGATATCATATTTTTGGGTGGTTGACTTTGACAGAGTAAAAATTGATTAAGTTGTTTTTTATTCAAAAAAGTTCTCATCTTTAATTCATATTAATTATTATCATGCTTTATTTCAATAATTCATTTCAAAGTTCACTTAATAAACAAATTCTCCATTTATTCTTGATTTGGGTTTGTACTCAGGTTCCCAATCAAAACTACACAAATAGTCAATAAATTGGATTTATCTATATGAGATTTATCCTGATTGTGATATTGGATATCAAAACACATTTCTTATCGGCCCAAGGCCCAACAACAATTTATTTTAACCAAAACAAATTTGATTAATTTTAATAATTATCTATTAATAATTCTAGGGTATGTTTTGGGGCGTTACAAAACCCATGACTTGCGTTCGGGAAAATGTTTTGAACAACATGAAGGATCCCCTTGTGACGGTCAGAGACAATGTAAAGATCATGCCTTGGGGTCAGGGTGGTTTTCAATTGACTAAGAAACCACAGCCATGAGTCCTTATCTTTTGAATCACATATTCCAAAGGCTATGGGGACAAGATGTTTATTGGCATCCTGGCAGCAAGCAGTTAATAGTGTTCCTTTGTAATAAGATTTCATGAATGTCCCATCAATGACGAGAACTGGGGCACAATGATTCCATGCTTGTCTCCACTGTGCTAAAGAGAAGAACAAATATTTGAATCTCTGATCTTCTGACCTATACAAATGGATAGAAGAGCTAGGGTTCTTCGTCTCCAGCATATAGCAAAGAGATGGTAATAACTGGTAGGATTCTTCATCGGAGCCATACAACTTGTTCAATGCCTTCTGTTTCACGAATAGTCCTTTCCTGTATGACATTGCAATGCCAAACTCCCGTCGCATATCGTCCCGTATGTCATTAGGAGGTGTTAAGTCATAAAATGTCGTATTTTATTCCCTCATTTTTTAGTAGTTTTAATATATTTAATATGCATTTTATACCTAAATGAGCATATTTTCTAATATTCAGCATTTTAGGCCATTGTTTACATTTTATACATAAAATGCATGATTTTGAGCATATTTATATTTGATAATTAATTTGGAGTCCTGATCTAAGGAAGATAATGGAATTGGGCCTTTGGAACAAAAGCAATGGGAGAAGAATGAAGTTAGGACCAAGCCCAAAGATGTATTTGATCCACCACCCTTTTGACCCAACCAATTATTGAAGCAAGCAAATAAATAAAAGAGGAAGAAAAAGAAAGAAGAGTAGAAGAGGAAGCAAACCAGCGCAGAAGAGAGCAGACTCCAAACGGAAGGCGCAAGAAACAAAGTCCTTCCCCCAATCCAACGCAAATTCCAAGAATCCTACTCCAAATTGAAGATTCCAAACTTCACAATTATAAAAGGAGACAAAAGCCACAAGAAAAATCATCTCCTTCAACCCCAACTCTAGAGGGAGATCGAGAGACAGATCGGGAGCAGAGCAGGGGGCCGGCCTAGGGTTCCGACCCCTAGGCCCGGCAGTCCAGCGGCGCGATGGTGGCTTGAATTCCAGCGATGGTGATTCCGACGGCGGCTAGGTCCAGCGCGGCTGAAGTCGGCGGTTTCTTGGCTTCGTACAGTGAGCAGAGGCAGAGGACTCAGGGGAGTGTTCATCAGTTTATTCTTTTTACTCCGTATTTGTTTTTGTTTTTCTTTCCTTTAATTAGGACCTCAATTATTAATTTCTCAAGTTAAGAATTGGATTGTCCAGTATTTAAATATGTTTATTTTCAATTCAAATTTTGTGTTGAATGTTTAAGTTATATTATAAGTGTTGAATTGTTTGAGAGTTGATGTTGAATTGTTCAAATTTGATTCTTGATTTATTATTGTCTCTGAAATTATAAAACCTTCTTAGGCTAAATTGTTTGTCAAAAAGATTGCATCTTTGTTTGTTGAATTAATTTGACTTTGAAGGAATTTTAGCTCTATGCTACTGTTAAATCTAAACTCGAAAAGGTGTTCTGAGAACTATTACTCACCAGATTTTACTTAAATTGGACCAAATTAGGAACGCGCGCCTAATCCAGTTTAAATTGATATTCTTTTAAAGTCCAAAGTGATTTAAATAGCCGAACTTTTCTAGAAACTAAGTATCACTTGGTTAGTACTTGCTGCCTCGTTAAGTGGTTCTTGCTAATCAAGGTTCTCGAACTGATTTTGTTAAATAACCATAGTGTTACTGCAAAGTTGTTATGGTGATGTTTTCTACAAATCTTAATGCACTATTCTTAGTAGTAACTTAAGGGTTGGTCTTTGGGTTGCTAAGGGTAGTAGGGTTTAGAGTTAGGGTTGGTCTTAACATGAGCTAATATGAATGGGAAAATAGGGAAGAACCGTTGGTGGATCTCTTCTTCAGCCTAACCCTGAGTTTAATTAGCAGTTTAATTTCAGAATCAAGGCAAAATTAATTGGTTAATCAAATTTGTTCAGTCTATTTTCTATTACAAATTATAAGTATTTTCAAAACGGTTTAAGTTAATTATTATTGTCTAAGTTCTTATAAAGTTTACCGTGAGATGTGTTTGTGTGTTTGTTTTCTCCGTGAGTGTTTTCTGAGTTCGAATTGCTGTTGTGGGTCCATCTCTTATCTGTTATCCTTTATCTTTATTTTATTTGCATTTTTATCTTTTTAGAATTATCATTCAAACCCCCCCCCCCCATATCTTTTGGGTTTAGTTTTAGATTCTAGTTAGTTTTTTTTTCAATAAAAGTGACAAGTGAACTGATTTTCATAGTCTAAAAAGTATCTTTCTTCGTGGGAACGACCCTTACTTACCCTATCTATATGTTTTAATGAATATTAATTCATAAAGGGGGATTTAAGTTAAGGAAAATAAGAAATTAATTTGTAGGTGCTACAACACGCCTAACAGGAGGGTACTGTTTCCTGGTAGCATCTAAATAACGATGTAGGACTAGATCGGCTATGAATGCTAACGTTGCTTGTCTCTTATCACCTTCCTGAAAGTCAACATGGCATAGAATCAAACCTTGAAAAAAAAGAATTTATCACATGATCCATGGGCAGACTGGTTATATAGAAAAGTGTGATGTGAAGTAAAGGGTTTATGGCTATGAGAAGTTATGCATATTAATGAATGAGGTAGTTTTTTCAGGTAACAAAATTGAAGTGCACATGTGCGTGGCCAGAATGTTATGAAAAGTGTGTGTTCAATGCCAAAGTGTATGTTGTGTTTATATGCGGTGTTGAGGATGTAGGCAAGTGTAGTTCATGGTATGGTAGTGATGTGTGAAAAGGCATGGGGTGTTGGGGGGTTCCCACACTACCTTTTATGTTGGTGATGTGGAAGTTATTAGTTCGCAAATATGGACAATGAGCGTGTGATGTCATTAGGGGATATGGAAGTGTGTGCACACTGTGTGGGTGATTGGTATGGTTCTAATGACATATGTTTTCAAAGGTAAGAAATTACTGCGGAATTTGTGGGTGGTCATGCAACTTTGGCTTTGTTGGTAATGTAGGAAGTGTAATGTGTGATTGTGCACAACTGTGGAAATTGCAAGCAGGGGGTGGGGGGCACGCTGCCATTTTTTTTTTTGAGATTGGCATGGATGTTAGTAGTTTTCGAAATTGGAATGCAGACATGTGATGACAGGAATACATATGGAAGTGAGTGCACAATGGGGGTCTGTTCTATTATGTTTACATTAAAGTTTAATTTACTAAAATTAGAATTTACCTGCGTATCTGGAACAGTGGAGAATTGTCAAGACTAACCGCACGCACAACCCATGAACACCGGTCATCAATGCATACAACGTGCAACACTGTCCTATTCGACCTCTTTGTCTTGTACTGAAAGCTATTAGAGACGGCATACATTTGTAGATGGTGGCATAAGTCTTTCTTTGACTTATAAATGCTGTCAAGTTGAAGAGTGGTTGGATGATAGTGTGAAAATACGTCCACTCATTTTGCAGAAGCTCTCCTACGTTTGGTTCGGTTGGTTCGTTTCATATTGTTTGAGGGATCAGACTTTCCATTAGAGGTTTTGTTTGGCATGTAGTTTGTGTTGCTTTGCCCCGTTGGGATGGGAGTGCACGCCAGAGTATGTGGAGGGTAACACGTGTTACTGACGGGAATAAGAGCATATGATGATCGATTTAGCTTGAGCAGTCAGACCACCTACTGTACCAGTACGTAAAACCTCCATGCATAATGGTAGATATGACATGTCGTTTTGGTAAGACTTCAACCTCAGGTAGAAGAGTAGTTCAGCATCATCCGAAATAACGATAGGCGGTGGACACAAGGCAACCATGTAAGAGAAACGAACATCATTTTGAGACCAGTCTCGTTACAGACATCAATGAGTGATTTTAGAGAGGTCTCGTTACGGACATCAATAAAGTGTCGTACTTTGAACTGAAATTTCCAAGAGTATCCCACGTTCCATCGACACGCACCAATACCTTAATATGTGAATCCATGCTTGTTGAGCCTTGAACAGAGAAAAATGACATGGTCAGAGACATTGAGGAAAATGCTGAGTTAAATGATTCAGTTTTTTTTAAAGATAGCATCACAGTGGGTGAAATACTAGATCTTGTAATACTTAACATATAGCTTCGAACTCCCATAAGAAGAATGCAAGTGACGAGAAATGAAATTTTGCATTGAAAATGTTGATTTTGAGATGCAGAAAAGTGTGCATCTACGATTATGAATCAGTAGAAGTGTAATACAAGGAATCTTTTTTTAGATGCAACACTACTTAATTAAACTGGCGGAAAAGTCCAGACAACCTAGATATTGAACAAAAAGAGAAATTTTTTTCAATTAACTTAACATTGGAGGATAAGAAGAACATAATATCTAATCACGAGTTTGAATGGACACAATAGACATTGAACGTTCAAACAAAACACATAAAATCAGAATTTGGGGCGAATTGAAAAGAAATTAAACTAAAAAATAATAGATGGAATAAAATGAGGAAGATGTCTGATGATGTGTGATGGATATTAGCAAATACATAACGAACCTGAATGTCTCGGGTGGGGCAGTGGGCGATGTGAGCTTCCGGCGAATTTCTGCGGAAATTAATTTGAATGCTGCATTTTTCTTCGGAATTGGGTAGGAGAATCCGAAACCTAGAGTGTTTCGGGTGATGCAGCCGGCGAGGATGCTGCCTGCGATTGTTCAGGTGGAATAATCATCGTTATTCAGCGTCGTATTAGGCGATGAGGTTGTAACGGCTAATGAATAACTCCCTCCTCAATTTAAGCAGGTGAAGGCGAAAGTGGGCGAAAGTGATGCATACCACTCACTCCTCATTTGGTGCAGGTTACGGAAAAAATGGATTGAAAAGGTTAAAATTGGAATATTAAAAAAGGGTATGGCGTTGGAGGTGCTCAAAAAGTAGGAAATTGGTTGAGAGTGCTGTGTATGTACTCCCTCCGTCCCACTGTCTTTGTCCACTTACCTTTTGACACACCATCCAATGCACTTCTTTAATCCATTTTATCTTGTAATTTGTATATTAAAAAATTATAGAAATTATATATTAATAATCTATATGTTAAGACGAATCAGACAAGATCACACATGACTATTTTTAGGTTTACACATTGAGAGAATTTGATGAGTCAAAGTACTTAGATGAACAGTTCCAAAAGTCAAATGTGGACAAAGACAGTAGGACGGAGGTAGTATTTTATAATAATTAATGGTGCTATATTGGATGATTTCTTTAATAGTAACTTTTTTAAGAAATAATTTCCTAATTCAATCATTTATAGCTGGTCCGAGGCGTCCTTTTTTTCTTCTAAATGTCATGCCATTAAAACAAAGCCTTGACTAAAGGTAAATTATTGGGTGGAATATATTCAAAGCTCTTACGGTGTTTCTGTACGCAAGAAGTCTAAAGTCACATTGTAAACAGCAAAGCCCGTTAGGATAAAGATTTGTTTTGTTTTTTGACTAAATGTAGATCTCAAAAAAACTAGACTCCATGTACGGTTCGAATTCCCTTTTCTTTTATATACTCCGTAGTAAACAGAATATGAAGTATTATCCAAATTCACAACGTGACTGAGAGATGTTTCATTGCAGAATTCATCTCCAACAGCATGATATATGTACTTGTAATTTAGCTTGGAAAGTAACACGAGCATTAAGCTTTTAAGGCAATATATCAACAGAGAGGAATAAACGAAGTAGAAAAATCTAAATGAGCAAACAGATACTGCTACGATACATCGATACGCAACCTCATTTAATTTACCAAAACAACTAAAACCGTCCCGGCTAACTGATTTACAACCAGACAGACCAACCAAACACCATTTTGTCAAGCAAAATGAAAATTTCATGGTTAATTAAGCAAAATGAAAATTTCATGGTTAATTAATGTGTTGCATTCAATTCTGTTGTGCACCGCCGCATAGATTTCCACAGGAAACTGTTTCCGGGTGATGCAATTCAACTTGTCTTTTCGGTGCCGTCCTTGAACACGCAGTTTAATTGAACACAACCCAACAAACGAATGAGAGGAGGATGTTAAAAAACGCTGGTAGCAGGCAATCTTTCCAGTGTTTCCAAGACATGCCTCATTGAAGGTCTCCTTTCTGGGTTGGTGTGAAGGCAGGACATGGCAATCTTTAGAACAGCAATCATTTCATCCTCTTTATCAACATCTTCGGCTAGATATTGGTCCAAAACATCTGACAGAGGCTTCTTCTCTTCAATACAGATGTGAATCCAGTTAACAATATCCGTTTCAGAAGACCCAGTTTGCACTAATGATGATCTCCCAGTTAGCATTTCCAATAGGATTACTCCATAAGAGTACACGTCCCACTTTTGAGATGGCTTCATTACCCTGAATGCCTCGGGAGCTTGATAAGGAGATCCTAAAGATCCAGTTGAAATAACGGATGCCAATTCTGATGATGCACTGATGGGCTGTGGTTGCTGCTGTCTCCCGGAGGCCATTCGGTTGGATAGCAGTGTCGTGGAGCCTCCAGCTAAATTTGCAATGCGCCCAAGTCCAAAGTCAGAGATCTTAGGTTCCATATTGTGTCCCAGCAGAATATTTGATGGTTTCAAATCACCATGGACATATTTTTTAGGGCTAAACTCGTGCAAATAAACCATTCCCTTAGCAGTTCCCTTCATTACTCCCAACCGCATGGACCATGAAAGAGGCTGAAAGGATGTGACTCCAGATTTTCCTGAATCGATAAACAAAAACAAGAAAACCTGTCATGAGAAACGCAACCTAAACACAATTATGGGCAAGTGGAAATTCCCAAGGTATGAAGCAATAGTTGCGACTAACTTTACTACTGTAGGGTATGAGACTTACCATGAATTGCAGTGGAAAGGCTTCCATTTGGAACAAATTCGTATATCAGTAGCTTCTCATCTGCCGACCAATAATAGGCTCTAAGAGTAACAATATTTGGATGCCTTAGCTTTCCAACTGCTTCAACTTCTGTCTGAAACTCCTTAAATCTCTGCGAGCCACCTTCTCCGAGTCTTCTCACAGCCAAGTTGAGACCACCTTCCAGCACAACTTTATAGACGATTCCAATACCACTCTTACCAAGCACAAATGCAGATGCCTTGAGAAGCTCATCTAGATCAAATCTCACTTCGTTATCCAGCGGGACAAGATCACATTGTTCTACATGATCTGACAAGGTCTCTGATTCGTGCATCCCGAAGCAAAGCAATTCCTTTCTTTTCTTTCCAAAACCATGTCCACTTTCATCATGTCTCCTCCCGCAAGCACATACTTTTGAGTAGCAATATGAGAATAGCAGGCCAATAAGGCAAATCCCAACCACATCACTGACAATAATTGCGGCCACTGCTCCTTCTCTAAGGCCCCCACTCTTACCAAATGTGCCTTGTGGGGGATAACTTTTGGGCACGTGGGGGTAAGAGGAAGGGGCAATATGCACACCGTCTGAGGAACATGGGTTCTTCAATGGAGGGCCACAGAGCCCTGGATTTTCAAGGAATGCAGTTGGCCCTCTATTCATTAGAGCACCATTTTGAGGAATTGGACCACTCAAATTGTTGTAAGTGAGATCAATATAAACCTTCTCAGGAAGGTTACCAAGGCTTGATGGGATCACCCCCCTAAATCTATTATGAGACAAATCAAGTGTTCCTTCCAGATTAGACAAATTTCCAAAGTCACGAGGAATCAACCCACTAAACAAGTTGTGTGAAAGGTTAAGGTTTTCCAGTGAAGCCAAGCTAGCCCCAACACCATCAGGCAAAATCCCACTAAAATTGTTCGCACTCAAATCAAGGTTCTTCAGCCTTCTACAGTGAATCAGAGTTGCAGGCAAATAACCATCCATAAAATTATGAGAAACATGAAGAGTTTGAAGGTAATTAAGCCTCCCGACCTCGGAAGGCAATGGCCCAGACAAGGAATTTTCATAAAGAACCAAACCTTGCAATCGTAAAGCTCTGAAGAGACCGGATGGCAAGCTCCCAGAAAGCCTATTGCTCCTTAAATTCAGATGTCTGAGCTCCGAGAGTGAGCCGAGGGAGGGAGAGAGAATCCCAAATAGATTCTTCTTTGGAATGCTCAAAGAGACAACCCGTCCATTCTTGCAAGAAATACCGTTCCATGAACAAGGGTTTTCATCGGAATTGTTCCAGGTAATTAGTGTCCCTTCTGGGTCCTCTGAAATAGATTGCTTGAAGGACAAAAGTGCTTTCGCTTCTTCATTCAAAGAACCCACTAGAGCTAGAGAATTGCAGAAGATCAATATGAACAAGACAAAAGGTGACATCTTCCCAGATTTTGAAGAAAATATACTGAGTATGTAAAAAAAAGGGAAGTTGGGCGTCAAATAGATTAATCCTTCTGTAATTGAATATGAAGTTTTTTTTCCTACAATACACGATATGAAGTTGAGCAGGGGAATTAAAATGTTTAGAGGTTAGAGAGGGAAACAAGCGAGAGTTCCAGATTGAGTGAAAAACGAATCGAAGTGATGAAGTGTGAACCCAGAAGTGAGGGTAGAATAAAGGGGAGGGATAGTCTACGCTCGGCCAGCATTTTTTCAAAGTGTAATTATGAATGAATTAGGAAAAATTCATGATACACCAACATTGAATATAGACCGGAGCCGGAGTGCAGGACACTTTAAAGCCTCCATAAAAAACATACTCCGTAGATAAAGCTATTTGTATTCTAAGGATTTTTATCTCATTTTATACACCGCAAGGATGCATTAATATTTTGTGTTGGTGTAATGATAATTTTTGTTAACGCACTTATACTTTGTGTCAGTGGAATTTTTTGTTAACGCACCAACATTTTGTGTCAGTGTAAATAATTAAAATGCAGGTGCATAACTTTGGTGTACAAATGGTGGGAAAATTTTGGAGTACATGTAGCATGCTCAAAAAAATATCTCAAATATGAGTAAAAATAGCATTTATCCTCAAATTAAAATTTTATATTTGTATCTACACTGTAACATTATGACATTATATAGTAAAATCTCATTATATTTTTTTGTACTTATATTGACATTATACTCCTGTTTCGATATTAAAAAATACGGTGAGCCTCTAGTGACACCAGAGTACGGTGACACTCCGGTGTCACTGCCATTTGAGGCACTTCTGGTGTTCCATTTATAAAATTGATACTTCCTACCCCCTAACAATCCCCCCAAACCCCAACACCGGCCACATCCCTGCACCCCAGCCCCCCCCC